ATCCATCCATCCATCCATCCATCCATCCATCCATCCATCAATCATTATTTTATCTTGTGTCTAACAACAGATAAATGAAATATGGAAAATCAGGGAATCTGTAGCTGAAAGTTTAAAGAAAGAAGGCTACAATTATAAGGTAAAATCTTAGATAATGCACCAAAGCTAAGGGGTCTATTGATCCCTTAATTATAATTYGAATAGACCAGTGGAGAATTGAATTACTATTATTAACTGGTTAGGGGTGTGCTGACATTTTGGGCACTTTATCATCACTACATGYAGTTGATTCCATACTAAACATCAGATTAGAACTATATGTTGAGTCTTGAMGATGCCACAAAAACAAAGTCTTATTATCTTTCTGTAATTAATTATTCCAATAGAACATAAATAAGAGAGGGGAACTTCTTAATAACCCACGTGTGGCCTTTGCTAGGCAAACTAAGACTGGACTGCTTTACTGGATTGATCTTTATTCGTATATCTCGTCAATCTTGACTATCTCGCTCTGACTTATCCTTAAAACTACAAGTAGATCAACAAAGGAATGTAACTAAATGATATCGGAATTATACGCGATGGAACGAATTATTAAGACTAAGATTCAATACATAAACACTTTACAAACATATTTTAAATGATCGGTACCTTGTCCAGATGTTAACTCTTAACTTGAAGTCCTATAACTTGACCTCTTACGACGAAATCATTAAGCACGGGCAACTGCCACGCGTCCCAAAACTAAACTAATGAAATCTGATACTCACTTAAGAAARCAGTGACTGTGTTGCGTAACATCAGTCATACCACGCACCTTGTAAATTCCCATTTGGGCTATTTTTAGTAACTGRATGCAGTTTAAATTTTGCCTTACCCTGACTCCTGTGCGTCATCAACTTGCACGCATGCTCTTTCCGTTTCGTTTTTAGTGATCAAAAGTATAAATGGAAAGAGGGTGCACGCATAAATTGATGACGCACGTGAGTGGGGTAAGACAAAATTTAAACTGCATCCAGTTACTAAAAAAAGCTCAACCGGGAAATTACATGGCGAGCACGTTATTAAGAAGTTTCCCTCTCTTATTTATGCTTTCTTGATTTTCCCAYGTAGTACGATCTATCTATTCCAATAACCAAGCTATATGACCTTGTACCTCACATGAGAGAAAGACTTGGAYCTGAAGCAACAAATGTCCTTGGCTATGGTCACCTTGGTGATGGTAAGGAGGCTGTCGATATTTTGATATAGCAAAATTCATGTTGACGTTATCTATTGATATGGATCTTGATCACACAGTGCCATATTTATTTGAGAATGCCGGTAAAAACCTTTGTTGAAAACAGCATAACCTCATTTTGAAGTGCTTGAATGTGAGGCTATGTGGGGAAAATCTATTGTTTCAGTCAACATGGGTGCGAAGTTAGAATTAGGTCCATTACTGTGCCAAGCAGGCAGTATTGACCATACTCAAACAAAGAGATTTTTTCTTTAATGGTTGACGAATTTAAATGAGAAAAGATAACTGACATCACCATTGACATCACCATTACGACTGTTTTCATGCTGWTTGAGACAACAGACATGACAGGTACATTAGGCAGTAGGCTGCTGTCAATCAGAATAYGTAAAGGGTACCGAACAATTATTTGATTGACGCTTAGTCTATTGCTGGATTTCCTGTGTGCAGCCATGAAAACAGTGGTAATAATCCTTTACTTTACCATTCACTGCTACGCCCTGATCAAGGCGACAGTCACAACAGGAAAATAGGRCAATACACTGCCACCAATTAGAGAATTTAAAGGTACTGACCAATTTGTTTGATTGATGGAGTGTATTGCCCAATTTTCCTGTTCTAACTGTTGTCTCGACCAGCTCGTAGCAATGAAAAGATTGGTAATTTTTCTGTTACCACATGTATKCRAGAATTTGAATTMATTTAATTTATTTTTTGCTYGCCACACAAAGGGAACCTTCACTTCAACGTCACAAGCCTGGAGTATGATGAAGAACTTGTGAAGGCTRTTGAACCTTACATTTATAACTGGACAGGTCAGTGCAATATGGAATAATGAGTCCTACTGGTAAAAGTGTAAAATATGTACCTTTATTTTTTTTTTTAATCTAAAAAATCTACAAAGCTTTCGCTGTTGTATCACAGCGTGGGACAATCACAACAGAGCTTGGCTCCAAACTAAGTGGAAGCCCAAAGATCGAATTAGAATTTAGAAGTTGATTTTTTTTGAGGAGGGAGGAAAACCGGTGAAACCGGAGAAAAAACCATCGAAGCACAGGAGAGAACCAACAAACAACTCTACTCACATACGACATCGAGATCGGCAGGACAGGATTTTGGCAGGCAGAACGCTTTACCATCAAACAAATTGTTTAAAACTCTGTAACGACTAAAGCCTTGCAATCAAGTCTGAATTGCAGGATACTGAATGTGAACTATTCACATATCCCCTCCCTCTGTTTATTTCCTCTGCTTTGTGATCATTATATTTTAGGTTTTTTTTAATATAACCTTCAGCTCAATACCGTGGCAGCATCAGTTCTGAACATGGCCTTGGCTTCAAGAAGGCTAAATTCATTCATCTGTCCAAGTCAGAGGAGGCTGTCAAAATCATGAAAAACATCAAAACCTTGATGGATCCCARTGGTATTCTCAATCCATACAAAACCCTTCCTTGATATCATTATTAATATATATTCGGAAATATGTATATACAGSCAAATATTTAGAAAAAAAATGCTTGGACAAGATAGAAAAATGGTAGCAGGCAAAAGTGACAGGCAGTGATTGAAAAGGCAACTGAAAAGCTACTGGTATTTGTGGTGTGTGCTCAAGTGCAAGGCAAAAGTAAGTGAATGTAGTACAGAACTGGTGAATTCTTCTGAGCTCTATCATATTGATATTAATACATTTGTATATATAATATTAGTCAAGAATATTGTATCTTTAGAATATGTCCTTATGCAGAGACCACTGAGAAAGAGCRGCTTTATCTTTCCTATTTTTGCTAAATTATATCCACTAAATTTCAACCCCACTTTTAGCCGTTTGTATCATACTAGTCTGCTATGTTTTCCAATATTAGCCACCCCCTCCCCCCCCCAGTTTAAAGGTTCTCTGGAGTCCTTGTTATTATAACCTTTATACAAAGTGCAGGGAGGGGTTGGACAGGATTGTGAGTTATCAAGACCAGCAATGAAGCATAATGGAGGATTCATTGCTGAGGCAAACCAGGAGAAGCAATTTGACCACATGGGGTACAAGCCAACCTCCAAATTATATCAATACTCTTTAACAAACTTTGGGCTGATCAGAATCAGAATCAGATTTAATTAGAATTTAGCAGCTCAAGTTTAGTGTCAATAAGAGGTGCCCATGCCCATGCTTACTAAAACATGGAAGTTTTTAATCAACATCCTTAAGTTAAAACATTGTTTTGAAATAGAAATGGCATGAATACTTTTTATACTTTAAAATCTATTTTAGTTTACTTTGCTACATGCTGAGCTAAAACATATCCATAAGTTGTATTATAAAATACGTCAAAATATTCATGAATCTTATCCATGGAATGTCTCTATTCATTCATCTTTATTTATCTTGGTCRTTTATCTATGAACTAGTTGTAGACAACATCACTGGTTTCTTTCTGAAATGAATAAATGAATTTMAAAGAAAAAATATACAAGGATAAAGAAATTTGCACAACATTTTAGGCTCAGTCTCCAGCCGTGGACTGGAAATTGAATTGAAATTTATTATTGAGACTGTAGTACTACCATGGTATAATGCCCATGTGATGAATTGAGAATTGGGAACTTAAGGTCCTGCTTTGATTACTGTTATGCACAAGACATCCATYTATTTCTGGTGATATGATTGACAGCTGCAAAAGGCACCCGTTTTATCCTGTTGATTGACAGCTGTTATGCACAAGACACCCATTTGTTTCTGATGATATAATTGACATTGCTGCAAAAGGCACCCATTTGATCCTGTTGATTGACAGCTGTTATGCACAAGACACCCATTTGTTTCTGGTGATATGATTGACAGCTGCAAAAGGCACCCATTTGATCCTGTTGATTGACAGCTTTTATGCACAAGACACCCATTTGATCTGTTGATTGACATCTGATGCATACAACACACCCATGTAATCCTGATGATTGACTTTGATCCTGTTAATTAACAGCTGATATGTACATTTAATCCTTATGATTGACAGCTGATACATACAAGACTGTACATAGTCTCCCTTAAGAATAACACAGATAAACAAATGCAGAGTTATCATAAAGACAAGAAGTAAAAAGCGCAGGAAACCTAGATTTGTACTTTTACAGTCTTATCATTTACGTTGTGTGTGTTTTTCTTACTCTCTTTGCGACATATAATATGAAGTGTAGCAGATGATGAAAATGACATAAAGGAATGGAAAGATAAATCTGGAAATTTTGTCGATCCAGTGAACTTTATGCAATATTTTGGTTTTTCTAGCGGTTATCCTTGGCGACTCTCTCTGAACAGTGTAGTTGCCTTTTTTGTTTCGGATTCGACAAACTCCTTCATCCATAACCCTGACGACGATGTCCACATTAGACGTTCCTTCATTCTGTGCAAACGATAATAAAAATGAGAGTCGATCGTAAGAGAGTGTTGGAAAGGCCATGATAAAAAATAGGAGATCTAAAAATCGATATGGGTTACGAAAGGGTGCGTATATCAACGATATGGGTTACGAAAGGGTGCGTATATCAACGATATGGGTTATGAAAGGGTGCGCATATCGACGATATGGGTTACGAAAGGGTGCGCCTATCGATGATATGGGTTACGAAAGGGTGCGCATATCGATGATATGGGTTACGAAAGGGTGCGCATATCGATGATATGGGTTACGAAAGGGTGCGCNGATATGGGTTACGAAAGGGTGCGCATATCGATGATATGGGTTACGAAAGGGTGCGCATATCGATGATATGGGTTACGAAAGGGTGCGCATATCGACGATATGGGTTACGAAAGGGTGCGCCTATCGATGATATGGGTTACGAAAGGGTGCGAATATCGATGATATGGGTTACGAAAGGGTGCACATATCGATGTCGAGTCCCCAAAGAAATTGTTCTGGGGGACAAAACGATTTCTTTTCTTTTTCTTTTTTTTTTTCTCGCACAAGAAAAGATGGCCTATTGTTTTGTCCCCCCAAAGGAATTCCTCTAGGAAATCAATGCAAAGGGTCTATAGTACTCACATCCACACTCAAGTTCATTTCTTTTGATTTCTTTCTCTTCCAAAAATTCTCAGCATCGAATTCAGGTTCAGAATTGAGCACTAATATATACTCCAACAAAGCGGCAAAAATAAAACCAAACGACGTCAAGAGGAAATGGTCCACCGCCTTCATGTAACTGACTTTAGGCATGTTGCTATTGACATTTCCTTGTAATAGGATGGACGTCAGGATGGTGGTGATACTGAGTCCCACACGTGCTGGGACTGCTTCCGGGTTCACAAAAAAACAGCACCACGACAAAACAACTAAAACTACTGCGGGGACGTAAATGGAAGATACGAAGCTTTCTGTGCGCCTTCTGAATGAGAACACTGCTGTCAGCCTCGCGAATGAGCCTAAAAACGAAGAAGATCGTTATTTAAG